TAATGTTAATTTTTTAATTTTATTATAAATATTAATGATAATAGAGTGTAATAAATACACTCTTATTGCCGATCAAAAAAAAAAAAAATACACTCTTATTCTTAGCTCTAAGTGCACAAGATAAAAAATCCCTAAAAAAATTTAAGAATTTTTTAAGTAGTGATTTGAAGAGTTACAACCCTTTGCATTTCACTACTGGAAATTTTATTTTTACACTTATTATTTAAGAGCACGTAACACCTAATGTCAATTTTATTGCATTGGTCCTTTAATAAAATCTTACTCCAAGGTTAGGTTATTTTTTGTCTAACATCTAAGACTTCCAAGGATAGGTTAATTACTAGAGTAATGATTTTTTAATTAAATTTTGAGACAAAAATTTGGATCAAAATTATTTCAATAGTTGATTACTTGATTATTTGAGTTATATAATTATAAATTCTAGATGATAATATGCAAATAAATTTTTTTGTACAATTGTTTTTACACAAATTTAACATATTATTAAATGAATAAATACATATACCATTTCCTCATTTGTATAAATAAATAAATTCAAAGAAAAAAATAGAGTAAATGACTTCCTTCTGTTTCCCTTCATTCTCTCCAATCCAAATATACTATAAATGACATGTAAAGTTATATAAAATATTGTATGCAAAAATTGTTTTTAAATCATATTTCATAAATTCTTCCAAAATAATCAATAATTATCATAAATTTGTTTTAAAATTTAGTTCTAACAATCATTACTTCATTTGATTTTATTTAATTGTCTTATTTTATCCATTCATAACAAAGAAGCTCATTTATTACAATAATTTGAATTTATTTTTCTATTTTCACCCTTATTTAGAATTAAACAAAAGAAATTTCAACTTAACTTATCTTTTGAAAAGGGATAAAATTAAAATATTAACATTTAATGTTTTATTAAAATAAAAAATAAAATAATAAAATCAAATCATGATTTTGTATTTCTTTTTCTCAAAGAAATCGAAGCTTTTGAGTTAATTAAAAAAGTTTTAATGTCACAATACTCCGCCTTCCAAAAATAATAGATTTTTTAAAATTTTATTTTTAAATTAATGATT